CAGAGCAAACATGTTTTCCATCATCAAGGCAGTTTGTACAGCAGAGCAATGGCTCATTAAAAACATGTCTTTCAAACCCAAGGTCATGGGTGGATGAAAGACCTGTCTACATCAAACTCCGGGTCACTGTAACCGCAAGATGGGCCAGATCTTGCGGCAAGAGCACCCCCGGAGGCTTATTTTCATTCCTCCAAAACACATCTGCAGTACAGGCCTGATTTGCACAGATAAGCTGCATATAAAATGAGTATAAAATAAGTATAAATTGACATAAAAGCATAAAAATAATCATTCTTATATCACGTGCGAATAGGGCTAAAGACAACCTGCGCTCAGGACTCAACATTAACGCCAGGGGCGGACTGGGAAAATAATTCAGGCTGGTAATTTGATACCATCCCAGGCCACCACCGCCCGATTAACACAAACCACCAAAACTGAGTTAAGTTGTGCACACTTTGAATGCATGCCATCTGCACACGTCATCAACTGAATACCTACAATCTTAAATGTTTCTGCTGTGGTGCAATAATCCATCCTCAAATCACATAAACTGAAATTATGTTGCCCTGCATTTTGCTCTGCATAAACTCTTTCAAACTCACTAGGAATATGACAATCAATCATAGTTTCATACAGCAAACGAGAGGTACACAGGTGGTACACTACAGATGTGTCAGCTTATTTTTAACCTCATTAAACACATTTGTAGTTTAAATAAATGTTTACTCACTTTTGTAAAAATAAATAAATAAATAAGAACCGCAAAAAAGGTTAAATCATTTCATCTGGACCAGTTTCTTTAAGGGAGAAACATTTCGTCTACCGTCCGGAAGACTTTTATCAGTCTGTGCCATGCCAACCAGGTCTGTCCCTTTTTTTATAAGAACCAGTTTTCACCACTTCTACCAGTACACAAGCAGGCGGCGCAGGTGATCAATACTCAGCTATTCTATCAATAATATCCTCTTTGTCCATTTCCATCAGAACCTCTTTCTTTGTTGCCATCAAAAGAAACGCTTCAAGGTTCTCTTGACTGAGGGAGGTTCTTAGGTGGTTCTTCACCAACTTCAGGGTGGAGAAGGTCCTCTCACAGGCAACCTGAGTGATGGGTAGTGTGAGGAGGAACTTGTCGCCCAAACCAATGATAGGATATGCATCAGTGAGCAGACTGTATTGTGAAAGGAGTTTTCTTCTTTCGGCTGCTCCTCCTTCAGGGGTCGCCACAGTGAACTAAGTCACACGAAGACTTGGCAGTTATTTTTGCACCGGATGTCCTTCCTGACACAACCACAGACACCGAGCTACCACAGCCCTCTGTGTGGAGCAGAGAGCTGCTATCTGGGACACCCGGAGGAGCAGATGGTGGGGGTCGCTCAAGGGCCCAGAGTGGGACGAATGAGGGTGGGGGCAGGTGTGGATGCTTCACCTACCCCGCCCACATTTTTGATGTTGTCTGTACCGGGGCTTGAACTGGCGATCTTCCAATCACAGGCCCACCTT